CATGAGAATGAGTAAAAACCATGAGAATAACCATGAGAATGAGTAACAACCATGAGAATGAGTAAAAACCATGAGAATAACCATGAGAATGAGTAGCAACCATGAGAATGAGTATAAACCATGAGAATAACCATGAGAATGAGTAACGACCATGAGAATGAGTAACAACCATGGGAATGTTGGCTTGGGGGAGCGGGAGGAGCTGAGCGCGGGGATTTTATCCGTGTTTTATTCCCTCTTTGTGTTTGCAGATCCACAGACTCCAAGCACGGGTGACCTGCGGCTCGTGAACGGCCCGAATCGCTGCTCTGGGAGAGTGGAGGTGCTTCACGACCACAAGTGGGGCACTGTGTGTGACGACGGCTGGGATCTGAACGATGCCACGGTGGTGTGCCAGCAGCTTGGCTGTGGCGCGGTCATCTCAGCTCCTGGCCGGGCGTATTTTGGCCAGGGACAAGACCCTATTTGGCTGGACAGAGTGGCCTGTGCAGGGACAGAAACTGCCCTCTCGAAATGCTGGGCAAAGCCATGGGGACAGCATAGTTGCACTCATGCAGAAGACGCCAGCGTGGTGTGCTCAGGTGAGCTCTAGCTGTCCTGTGGTGAGAGTGGTTGGAAGCCTTGGTGGCTCAAGAAGGACTCAAAGATGGTGGTGGAGGACGGGAACGGTTCAGGAACACTGAAAAGGGCAATTTTCCTTTTAGGACAGTCCTCTTATAGATGCCCATGGTTGTGGAGAAAGAGTGGGTCACAGAAATATTAATAAGGACTGCAGATTTTGTGACACTGCAGGACCTCAGGAGCCACTGAAGGACCTTGCACTCATTCCATGTGGGAGCATCTGCCGTTTAGACACACAGGAAAACCTAAGACACGTGGGCGTTGAGGCGGCCGTGCTGCTCAAACCAAGCGTGGGAGATAACATGCCCCATGGCACGGCTGGTCCACAGTCTCCCTCCTGTGCTTTGCAGGTCCTTCAGATCCAGGCACTACGAACGTGACCACCATCCGACTGATGAACGGCCCGCATCACTGTGCCGGGAGAGTAGAGGTGCTTCACAACCAGAAGTGGGGAACCGTGTGTGACGACGGCTGGGACGTAAGCGACGCCACCGTGGTCTGCCGGCAGCTGGGCTGCGGGAGAGCGCTATCGGCCTCGAAACAGGCTCTCTTTGGACAAGGCTCTGGCCACATCTGGCTGGACAGAGTTAGTTGCACTGGGAGCGAAAATGCCCTCACTGAGTGCTCGGCCAGACCCTGGGGCATCAACGGCTGCAGTCATGAAGAAGATGCTGGTGTTGTGTGCTCAGGTGACGCTCGCACCCACAAGCACGGTGATCCCGAGTGGTGTAGGGTGGAATAGACCTCCTAAGAGCCCGCTCCCTTCTGAAGTGACCCTTCCACTCTGTAAGATCAGGAGCTCTGGCCGTGGGGAGCGGATTTATTGTGCGTGGAAGGTGTGTGCGTGGAGGTGGTTCCCAATGGACAGGGAGACGTGGAGATTTCATCCCAGCAAGCCCCAAGATACCTGAGCTGTCCTGATTCAACTGCCTTTGGAGTGGTTGGATAGGGGAAAAGAAAGGTGGATTTTGCTACCTGTGTGTTATTTGGCCTGCCCTGGGAGCACAGGGAACAAGGAGGCCACCAAGAAAGGGATGTCTCCCTTTAGGAGAGAAATCTAGGAGACTAAAAATAAGTGACTCACGCTTAAAAAGCCTTCAGGTGTCCTGTGGCAGGATACAAACGCTGTGTCACGTATGCCCATTTTGTGGACATGTCCTGGTCAGGATCCATTTGCCCAATGTTTGATCTTTGGTTATTGCTCACTAGGTCCTTAGAAATCTCCCTCAGTGCATCATTCTCTTGTCCTATCATGCTCTTGTCCTATCGTTCTCATGTCCTATCATTCTCTTGTCCTATTGTTCTTCTGTCCTCTCATTCTCTTCTCCTATCATTCTCTTGTCCTATCGTTCTTTTGTCCTCTTATTCTCTTGTCCTATCGTTCTCTTGTCCTATCGTTCTCTTGTCCTATCGTTCTCTTGTCCTATCGTTCTTCTGTCCTCTCATTCTCTTCTCCTATCATTCTCTTGTTCCATCATTCTCATGTCCTATCATTCTCTTGTCCTATCATGCTCTTCTCCTATCATTCTCTTGTCGTATCATGCCCTTGTCCTATCATGCCCTTGTCCCATCGTTCTCCTGTCCTACCGTTCTCCTGTCCTACCGTTCTCCTGTCCTACCGTTCTCCTGTCCTAAAGAGCGGTATGACCTCCCTCTTGCAGGCCCAAACACCGCAGTGCAGGCCCAGGTCCGCCTGGTAAATGGCCCGAACCGCTGTGCCGGGAGAGTGGAGGTGCTTCACAAGGACCAGTGGGGAACCGTGTGTGATGACGGCTGGAAGCTCAGCGATGCCATGGTGGTGTGCAGGCAGCTGGGCTGCGGGACGGCGGACTCGGCCTTCACTGGCGCTCACTTTGGGCAAGGCTCAGGTCCCATCTGGCTGGACGACGTGACCTGTATGGGGAATGAAGGTGCCCTCTCCCAGTGCAGGTCCCGCCCGTGGGGACAGAATAACTGCAACCATGGAGAAGACGCTGGCGTGGTGTGCTCAGGTAACTCAGTCCTGTAGCCACATCCAGTTGGCTCGCAAGGAGTGTAAGCATGGCATGGTCCTGGGCCCCATCTGTTAAGGGATTGAGGGGGTTGGACTAGATTATCTCTGAGGTCCCTTCCAACCTAAAGCATTCTATGATTCTATGAAAAGAGCAGGTTCCTTTCATTTGGACCCACGCCGGGGGTCTAAATAAATGTCCCAGGCCAGGCCAAGAGCCAACCCACCCTGCCTTGCAGCAGCAGGATGCAAGGCATGAGTTGAGCGCAGTGCCAAGCAGAGGAGCCCAACGGCGCTGACTGCAACGTGGCATAGAAATCTCACCTGCACTAAATGAAACTAACTCAGGGTCTGGGTGCCCAGCTAGCCACCGTTGGGTTGCCCCTTGGAGCAGACTCATTGACCTTCCTGACCACGCAGCACCCAACAGATCTTCCCTGACATTGCTCCGCTCATAGGTTTGCGTGCAAGAGCCACCAACATTTTGGGTTACGAAAGCGGAAGCAAATCCCATCTCTAGAGCTAAGCAAGATGAGTTCCTTTGATAGGGTCACTTGGTGATCCTATCCCCAAGATCCTTTGAGGATGCCTCCTTGGCATCATCACCTTGATGATCTCCTTGGAGGATAGGAGAACTTTAGGATACCTAAATTTGCACTTGGGTTTCTGTTCTTGCACTGTTGCCAGAGAGCCCCACTGGGTCTTCTCCTGTCCTAAGCAAAGGATCCTACGTTTCTCTTTGCAGACGCCAGTTCCACGGCAGAAGTACAAGTTCGCCTGGTGAAGGGCCCGAACCGCTGTGCCGGCCGCGTGGAGGTGCTTCATAATGACCGGTGGGGCACTGTGTGTGACGACAACTGGAATTTAAGGCAAGCCAAGGTGGTGTGTCGGCAGCTGGGCTGCGGCACAGCGGTCTCAACGCCCGCCGAGGCTCACTTTGGGAAAGGGTCGGACCCCATCTGGCTAGACGGGGTGGAGTGCACAGGCGCCGAGGCCACGCTCGCCGAGTGCCACCTCAACACGTGGGGCGTCCACGACTGCAGCCACGAGGAAGACGCGGGAGTCGTGTGCTTAGGTAACGGTGGGAATGCTGGAGAAGTTGGAAGCATGTTTGGGAAGTTGAGAGAGGTTAGGAGAAATGGGGGAACGGATCCGCATCGAGTAGCTGCCCCAGCGTGATGGGTGTCTTCACAAGCGTGGAGCACATTGAGGTGCAGATACAGCAATGCATGTGACACGAGGAAGGTTTCCTTGGAAGGGGGCATTCGTGTGGGCAGAGACGCAGCAGCAGGAGGTGGCACTGTCACGGAGGTCCTGGTGGATGTCCACTTCACAGCCTGTTTGTCTTCTCCATTGCAGACACGTCTCCCTTGCAGCTGCGGCTGCAGGATGGCCCTGGACGTTGCGCGGGGCGCGTGGAGGTCCTCTACAACGCGACGTGGTATGGAGTGTGTGACACCAGCTGGAGCTTGCTGGAAGCAGACGTGGTCTGCAGGCAGCTGGGCTGTGGACCAGCACGGTCTGCACCCGTTGGGGACCAGTTTGGTCGGGACAAAGGCCCGGCCTTGCTGGAAGGGCTGAGCTGCGCGGGCACTGAGTCGCTCCTCTTAGAGTGCCAGCAGAGCAAGATGGGCCCGGCGCCGTGCACGCACGGCTCTGCAGCTGGCGTGGTGTGCACCGACCCGAAAGGTGGGTGCTGGGGACCCCCTCCACGCTCCTGCGCTCTGGGGAGCATCAGGACCTGTCTGCAACAGGGGTGGGAGAGGCAGGGGAAAGGCAGAGCGAGCTGGGGCTCTTCAGCCTGAAGAATCCCAGAATCCCAGAAGGTTCAAGGTTGGAAGGGACCTCTAGAGATCATCTAGTCCAACCTGAGGGACACCCAGAGCACGGGGCACAGGGTGGTGACTAGGTGGGTTTGGAGACCTCCAGAGAAGGAGACTCCCCAGCCTCCCTGGGCAGCCTGGTCCAGGGCTCGGACACCCTCCCAGTGCAGAAGTTCCTCCTCACCTGGAGATGGAGCTGCCTGGGTTTCAACCTAGACCCATTTCTCCTTGTCCTGTCACTGGCCACCAGTGAGAAGGCTGAAGGGGGACCTGATCAGTGTCCTTAAATACCTCAACGGAGGCAGTGAGGAAGACGGGGCGGCCTCTTTTCAGTGGTGGCCACTCACAGAACTAGAGGAAACGGTCACAAACTGAAGCACCAAAAGTTCCTCAGGAACTTAAGGAAAAACTTCTCAACAGCGAGGGTGCCCGAGCCCTGGAACAGGCTGCCCAGAAAGGCTGTGGAGTCTCCTTCTCTGGAGATCTTCCAAACCTACTTGGATGAAGCTCTGTGCCACGTGCTGTAGGAGACCCTGAGTGTGCAGGGTCAGGTCGTGGACCAGATGATCTCTAAAGGTCCCTTTAGAGATAAAACCAGTGATAAACCACTGGTATGTGGCAGACCATATACTTTTAAAAGACACTCCTAGGGGCTGGGAAATGTCATCAGTGATAGAAGGTCGGGAAAGAGCCTCCAAAGAGGTGAACAAGCCCCAGATAGACCTCTACTGACTTAAATTCAAGGAATAACCGAGCATCCTGCTCTCTCCACAGACTCTCCCAAGTCCTGCTCCGTGCTCATAGCACTGCTCGTCCTCACCATGATGCTCTCCGGGGTGCTGCTGTGGCTGGTCTTGAGGAGAAGGTGTTCTAGAAGAGCAGCCCAAAATTCAGGTGAGAGCGCCCTGGTCAGTGAGCCCTGTTTTGCGCTTCAAGGTCCTCAAAGCCTTAAAGCAAAGCCCACCATCCACACGTGGACCCATCATGGTCCAAGATGCAGCAGAGGGAGATGGGGTTGACTCCTCCAAGCTTGAGGCGCTCAGTGACCCCCTGTGCTTTGCAGATCACGCACGGATGACGGAGCTGAGCAGTTCGGTGACGCCCTTCTGCTCCATGGGAGCCATCTACCACCCTGCAAAGGCCGAGCCCGCCGAGGATCCCAACAGCGAGACGGCTCAACTGGTGAAGGAGGACGCTGCCCTTTGACACCAGCACGGCCCGAGCGCGGCGCTCCCTGCTCTGCTGGCACCTCGCGTCACCAGGGTCCCCAGCAAGGCCCGTTCCTCAGGCTGCGGGGACCTCTCACTCCTCCCTTTGCCCACCTCTGCATCGAGCGCGCGTCTCTCGGCTCCCTTTGGGAGCCCCTTCTTACCCCCGAGCAGCTGCAGGCCTGCAATGTGGAACCAGGTTCTCCAGAGCATGGAGTCAAAGACGCTGAAAGGCTCCCCAGGAGACTGCAAGAGAGAGCTGAGAAGGGTGGACGTTCATAGCAGCACCAAAGGTCGCCCTCGAAGCCCTGAGATAGCTGGTTAAGGCAGGCTTAGCCTCCTGGTGTTTGTTTAAGCCCCGCTGGGACGCTCTGCACAGCTCCAGGAGACTGGAAGAAGCCTCAGGGTTAGGTTGGTGGGTACGAGACCCGGCGGGACAACTTGAACGTGGCGGCAAAGTGAACGGAAACTGCTAATAAACGGAAGGAGGGGGGTGTCCCCAACCTCGCAAGCGCAATGAGCGTCAACGTGGTGGGCTGGAGAGGAGCTCCTTTGTGGGCCTGAGCAAGGGGTCTGCAGGTACAAGGCAGGCTCTGGGGCACCAGCGCTGCCAAGCAAGTGCTGGGCAACCCTCGTGGTGCTGGAGCGTGGTGCAGTGCATTTCAGTTGGAGGATAGAGGCCACCCCATGAGCTTGAGAACCTCGTGTACTCAACCTGCTGCGCTCCGGCGGCTGCTGGGTCCCCGCTGGGATCTCCCATGCTCCCAGCTCTCCCGGTGCAGGGATGACCCGTCTTTCCATCCCGCAGCACAGGTGGCAAGAGGGAGGCTGGAGGACTTGAGGAGGTTGTGTGATGGGACGCCCTGATATCTAAGCTCAGTCCTGGCGCTCAAGTCCTGGGCTCAAGGGAGACCTTCTCGCTCTCCGCAACTACCTGAAAGGAGGTTGCGGTGACGCAGGGGTCGATCTCTTCTCCAGAATTACTAAAGATAAGAGGAAATGGCCTCGAGTTGAGCCAGGGGAGGTTCAGGTTGGACACCAGGAAGAATTTCTACAGGGAAAGCGCAGTCAAGCATGGGAACAGGCTGCCCAGGGAGGTCTGGAGTCACCGTCCCTGGCAGTGCTCAAGGAACGTGTGGATGAGGCGCTTAGGGACCCGGTTTAGCAGGTAGGGTGCTGAGGGGCTTACGGTTGGCCTTGGTGATCTCAAAGGTCCTTTCCAACCACAGTGATTCTGTGGTTTGATGTCCAGCCCTCTCCGAGCCAGCCGGCACATTCCAGGCTGCCTGCTGAGCTCCTGGCTGGCAAGGATACACGGGAGAACTTGGCTTTACCATTAAAGCGCCCCCAAGTAGACATCAAGGAGGAGCTGCTCCAACCTCCACACAAGGGTGAGGCACCTCCCAGCCGCCCGAGCAACCAGGCCAGGCCTGGACTTCCCCGTCCACACGGCACCCCGGCAGCCCCCGGCCTCCCTTCCCGCCGAGAGGCCAACTGCGAGCAGGGACTGGGCCCCAAGGAGTGACAAGGCAACGACATCGTTAAATAACTGTCCTGTAATTAGTGTGCGGACCGCCGAGGAGCACGACGGGGCACTCCCTTCCACCCCGCAGCACATTCGGAACCGTAAAAGAGGGGGACGGAGGAGGACCGGGGTCACCACGAGCGCAGGGGAAGGGACCTCCAGTTCCACAGCTCTGGTGTGCGGGAAGGTCAGCGCGACACGAGGCCCCTCCAGGGTGGAGGGGACACAGCGGGTGACACGAGGTCCCTCCAGGGTGGAGGGGACACAGCGGGTGACACGAGGCCCCTCCAGGGTGGAGGGGACACAGCGGGTGACACGAGGCCCCTCCAGGGTGGCTGGGGGGCACAGAGCACTCACGTACGTCGAGGACGGGGTCCCGCCAGGTCCCGCCCGGGTCTTGTCTTCGCCGCCCAAGGTCCACGCGTCACCCACGGGTGGGTGGAAGCAGCGGGAGCAGCTCTCAGGGAAGGACGAATCCGGATTTCGGCAGCGGGGTGGGTGGTTGGCTCTGGATGCTCCAGTCCCCCGGGAAGGGGAGGCTTCCGAGCAGAGCACGGCGGCGCCCGGCCCTCCTCCTCCTCCTCCTCGGAGGTTAGTGTTTCAAAACGTGGTACCAACACGGGGCTCGCAGCTCCACGTCGCCGCTTCCACTTGGGCTTGGAAGAGCAGCCGGGACGGACAGGCTCTTTGAGGACCAGGACAGCTGGGAGCGAGCGCTCTGGAGCTGAGGACACCACGACGAGCTGCACGGGCCCTCTCTGTTGGGCTCAGCTCCTCTCCCAAGGCCGCGCTTCCACAGCCGGCCCTTCTCTCCCGCCTCTTGGATCTCTCGGCTGGGTTTTCATCAGGACGTGCAACCCGCGGCCAACAAAACCTCTGCTCTGCGTCCCGCGGGACCTGCTGCCTGAGGAGCAGAAGGTCCTCGGGGCCCCTGCACAGCAGGGCCAAGGACACCGCTGGGATTAACGGGATCCAAAGTAGCAGCGTGAGATGGGGACGGGCCGGTTAAGCCCGAGCCCAGTCCCTGGACGAGAAGGGAGGTGCTGCTCCCCGGCACGGGGTTCTCTGCCCAAGGTGCAGGTACAAAACGGGGACAGGTCTCCTCCGTCCTCTGGCCAGGGCTCAACCCCAGGGGACAAGAGCTCCCAGCCTGAACCCCGCGCTCAAGACCGAGATGCAGCAGCACAACACCGAGATGCTGGCGGCCCTGGGGGCCGGGCAGGCTGATACTGGGAGGACTGGAAGCCCCGGGCACCTGCAAGTGGCACATGCCAGGGCAGAGAGCGGGGGATCCCTTGGCATCGGAGGAGAAGACACACGACCTGGTGCCCCTGCACGTGGACGGTGCCCGGGCGGGGACGACGTGCGACGCCGGGCTGGGGACACCCGCTGCGGGGCTCAGCCGTCGCGGTGCACGCGCTGGTGCTGCAGCAGGTTGGAGGGGTGCGCGAAGCCCTTGTCGCACACGCCGCACTTGTAGGGCGTCTCGCCCGTGTGCACCTTCTCGTGCACGGCCAGGTAGGCCAGGTCCTTGAAGAACTTGTGGCAGAAGCTGCACTTGTAGGGCCGCTCCTGGCTGTGCACGCGGTGGTGCTGCAACAGCAGCGAGGGCCGGGCGAACGCCTTGCCGCACGCCTCGCACTTGTAGGGCCGCTCGCCCGTGTGCGCCCGCTCGTGGATCACCAGGTAGGACGACTGCTTGAAGGCCTTGCCGCACGTTTTGCACACGAAGGGGCGCTCGCCCGTGTGCACGCGCTCGTGCGACGACAGCGCGTTGGACTGCTTGAAGCCCTTGCCGCAGAGCGGGCACACGAAGGGCCGGTCGCCCGTGTGCACGCGCTCGTGCACCTTGAGGCTGTGGCCGTAGGTGAACTTCTTGCCGCACACGCCGCACACGTGCGGCTTGTCGTCGCAGTGCTGCCGCTGGTGCAGCAGCAGCGCGTTGGACGTGGGGAAGTCCTTGCCGCAGTCGGCGCACTTGAAGGGCTTCTCGGTGCAGTGCGTGAGCGTGTGCCGCTGCAGCTCGTAGGGCGTCTTGAAGCTCTTGTCGCAGCAGGCGCAGTGGAAGGGCCGCTCGCCCGTGTGGATGCGCCGGTGCTCCTGCAGGTTGGAGGAGCGCTTGAAGCGCTTGCCGCAGAGCTCGCAGCGGAAGGGCCGCTCCTCCGTGTGCACCAGCCGGTGGCTCTTGAAGTCCGAGTGGCGCTTGAAGGAGGCCTCGCAGAGGTCGCAGCGGAACGGGCGCTCCTCGTTGTGCACCACCTCGTGGCTGAAGAGCTCCCAGGCGCGCTTGAAGGCCTTCTCGCACACGCCGCACTGGAAGGGCTTCTCGTCCACGATCACCTCGCGGATCTCGAAGTCGGCGCCCGCCGCGCCGCCGCCCCGCTTGAGGTGCGCGGGCAGCACCGCGGCCTCGTCCAGCTCGCCCGCCGCGCCGCCCAGCACCAGCTTGGCCGTGGAGTAGATGCCGTGCTCGTCGATCAGCTGCACGAAGTCGGGCTTGGCACGGCCGGCGAGCGGCGCCTCCGGGGAGCAGGGCCGAGAGCCTTTCTCCTCCTCCTCCTCCTCGCTGCTCTGCGGCACGAGCGGCGCCTCCTCCAGCCCGTTCTCCAGCAGCCTCTTCTTGCGATGGAAGTCGCCGCCTTGGCCCCAGATGAAGCGGAGCCTCTTGCCCCGGGAGGGCCCCGGCTCCTCGGCGCCCTCCGGCTGCCCCTGCCCGGGGGAGGCGGCAGCCTGGCTAGGCCTGGGCTTCAAGTAAAGCCGGTGCTTCCGTCGGAAGGGCCGGCGCGGCTGCAGCTCGGGCTCCCGGGGCGACGCAGCCTCCTTGTCCTCTCCCGCCTTCCCGCCAGGCCCGTGCGTGTCCTGCGGGACGAGGGGGCTGTTCCCCTGCCAGCGCTGGCCCAACGGGCAGGGGGGTGACGGTGGCAGCCGCTCCGGGGAGCTCCCCTCCATCTCTTCCTTACGTTGCCCTTGAGCTGCGTCCTTCTCCGCAGCCGCCTCCTGCTCCTCATCCTCGGGTCCCTCCGCTTCCGAAAGGCGGCTGCTCCTCGGGGGAACGGCGCCGCCGCCGGCTGGGCGCCCCGGGTGCTGCTCCATGCCTCCCGGCAGCAGGAACCTCTGCACAAGCTGGGGAGAGAGGAGAGCGTGAGAGCGCTGACCCGCCACGAGGCGCGCCACGCTAGAGCAGAGCGCGGGGAGACCCGTCAGGGACGCCACAACCGTCCCCCAAGGGCACCAAGGGCACAGCCAGAACCGCCCCGAAAACCTTTCATTCCCGAACCTGCGCGCAACACAAGCGGATCGTTCATTTAATAACATTAATAGCGGGGAGTCTTTCACTTATTCACTCATTCCGCTCCCTTTCCTTTTAGTCCATGACCCCGTTAGAGCTGAGCGGGCGGAGAGCTCAATGGACAAGTTGAGGGGCACGGGGTTTGCTGGCAGCTCCCCAGGTTCCTCAGAGGGCCCCTCGTCCCACCGGGAGCAGGGACAACCCTCCCTGCCAGCGAAACTACTCCTGCTGTCCCTGGTTAGCAGGTTCTGGGGATTCAACAGCCTGACTTAGACCGGGGCTTAGCGGGAAGTTCTCAGGCTGCCTTCTCAGCACAGACTCCTTTCTCTGACCGCTCTTCTGCTGGGCTCCCTCCGACCCAGGGAGGCTGGGGAGTCTCCTGCTCTGGAGGTCTCCAAACCCACCTGGATGCCACCCTGTGCCACCCGCTCTGGGTGTGCCTGCTTGAGCAGGAAGGTTGGGCTAGATGATCTCGAGAGGTCCCTCCCAACCTTGAACATCAGGAAGGTTGGACTAGATGATCCCCAGAGGTCCCTTCAACCTTGAACATCGGGAAGGTTGGACTAGATGATCTCTAGAGGTCCCTTCAACCTTGAACATCGGGAAGGTTGGACTAGATGA